GAGAGATGAGAACAGGAAAGGGGATTGTAATGGTGTATTAGGCTCTTTCTGGGCTCAAGGAATAGAAAAACACTCAGGTTACATCAGATAAAGAGTAAGAATTTACTGCAACAATACAGAGACATAAAAGCAGAGACCTCGCGCTGCTGCAGAAGATTATTGAAGATGTAACTGCAGCCAGCCATTCTGGACCTCTCAGCAGGCGGCGCCATCCTTTGCTCCCTACCCTAGTGTTTCCACACTCTGGGGTCTCAATCATTCTCTCTCTGCTGTTGCTTCTGCGGCTCCTGGTCATCTTTTCTCTATTCTCCTTCAGGCTGTCCCATGAATTCTGCCTTCTCTCTGCTGTCACTTCCCTCTGTGAGCCTTTCTGCATCTACCTTGACTAAGGACTGTCCTCTGCATGCATCACGGTTAAACCTACCCAAGAGAGAAATCTAGATGGTTCACTGCTACTTACTATAGAGATTTCCTATTGGGCAGAGCACGTTTACCAGGCCCTTGGTAAGCCTAATAGAAAGGTGCCATTTAGGAGGCCCTGCTCTTGCTCCCTCAGCTGCGCCAAGAATTGTAGGCTGCATAATGAAGTCCTCAAAAAGGGGCAATAGGCAGGGCAGACTTTCCAAGGCTTCCTAGAAGGGGTCATATGACTGTCAGGCACACTGCTTGAGCAGACAATTATGGATAGAAAAGTGGGATATATTCGGATTTTTTTTTTTTTTTTTTTTTTTTTTGAGGCAGGGTCTCTCTCTGTCTCCCAGGCTGGAGTGCAGTGATGTGATCTCAGTTCACTGCAGCCTCCACCTACCAGGTTCAAGTGATCCTCCCACCTCAGCCTCCTGAGTAGCTGGGACTACAGGTCATGCCACCATGCCTGGCTAATTTTTGTTTTGTAGAGACGGGGTTTCTCTATGTTGACCAGGCTAAGCAGGGTATATTCATGATGAATAAAGAAAGATAGGCCAGGTGAGGTGGTTCGTGCCTGCAATCCCAGCATTTTGGGAGGCCAAGGTGGGCAGATTCCTCAAACCAGAGTTTGAGACCACCCTGGGCAACATAGTGTGACCCTGTCTCTATAAAAAATAAACAAAACTTAGCTGGACATGGTGGCTTGCACCAGTAGTCCCAACTAATTGGGAGGCTGAGGTGGGAGAATAGCTTGAGCCTGGGAGGTTGAGGCTGCAGTAAGCCATGATCATGCCACTGTACTCCAGCCTGGGTAACAGAGCAAGACCCCTGTCTCAAAAGAAAAAACAAAGAGAAAACGCAAGCTAAGGGCTAAAGGTTGAGTTGAAAATGTTGCCCAAGGAGCACATACCTTATGGGAAAAGCTATCAAAGACTATCTCTCAACTTTGCTTCTTCTGAAGAAAGACAAAAGGATAGGAAAATGAAAATAATTGGAACATATTCTTTCCCAGTGTTGGCACCGAGGAAAAACTATAGACTGGTTCCTACTACCCACATCCCCGGGAGTGCCCTAATCCAGCCTTTGCCAAGCCAGATTTCCAGCTGTTTCTTTGATGTCTGCGTGATATATTCTTTATTTGCTTAAGTTAGCCAGCATGAGTGCTTGCTGCTTACAACCAAGAAACTCTACGGAAGACATAAGGGTCTCTTCCAAACTTTTTGTGTGGTGAACCAGCAAAATCAATCACTGTTGGAAGGCAGTTGCTTAGACACCTGTGTGTCATATCTGCAGGAAAAGAGAGAGGGGTGCAAAAGTAAGTCTAAACAAAAAGAATGTAATATCTGAATATATACCAATTCATTTTTGTTATTAAATAAACTGAGTGTAATGGCACAAATGACAAATAACAAATTTAGACCACTTTTAAGAGAGAAAAACTCCCAATGACCTCATAGCTTTGATGGTCTGGAGTTAATAGTAACTACAATGTCTTTCATTTGTAGGTATAAGGGAATGATTCATTTCCCTCAACTCAACAGTTTATCTGCATTTGCCTGATGACATATGACCTACTTTTCAGTATTCCAGGCAGTAATTACCCAAAGCCCTCCCCAAAGTCTCAGTCCATAAAATCTTCCTTTTAATGATACTTAAGCCTTTAGCGTGTTCCTGCAGCACTTCAAAGTCACCTTGGCACCAGGGGAGTGTTTTTAAAACATGCAGTGCACTAAGTGCATTCTGGGATGTCTCAGGCTGAAGACAAAACTGCAAGGGCACAGACATTAGGTACTACAATCTAAAGAGGATCACATTCTGAAGGAGGTCATTGGAATATGGGGAGGGAAAGATTTGGGCTTCTAAGTTTCCTGAAACAAAAGGGTCCAAGGTGAAGCCAGTCTGAACTAGGCAATGAGCAATTCTGATGAAGCCCATCCTGGTCTAAAGTTACCCTGTTCACTTTCAGTGTGGGTCAGGCAGGCCCGAGAATGACAGGGCCAAGGGTTCGCTACTCCCAAACCCGTTTCGCAACCAGTCAGAGTTTCCATTGCAATTCCTACTTATATATGTAAGGATCATATTAATAGTTACTTTAATATGCGGCATCTGCAAAGTTAAAATATCTATCCACCTAAAGCTCAGAAAGGAATACGAAGGAAAATATTTATTAACTAGTTCCAGAGGTTCTATTTCTGCCAAATGTTTCTTAAAATAGAGTATGACATGATGGGGACAATCTAGTGATAGTTTTGTTATTCTAGAACTGCACTGCCCAATATGGTAACTGCTATCCACATGTGGCTATTTAAATTAAATACAACTTGAAACCTTCAGTCACACTGGCCACATTTCAAGTGCTCAACAGTCACATGTGGCTAGTGGCTACTGTACTGGACAAGGTAGAATTATAGAACATTCCTATCATCGCAGAAAGTTCCATTAGACACAGTGTTCTAGAATAATGAATTCTGTTATGACATCATGGTGATTTTACCTGTACTAGCAGTCAGTAATATAAATGCCAATGAGATATCTTTTCTGCATATTTTATGGAAATACCAAATAAAGTCCTTTAAAAATACAGTACAAATAGTAATGCTATCAAGATTGGAACTTCTCTTATTGATAACTGTAGTGATTAATACTTCATCCTCCTATTGACTGCAATCTGTTTTTCATTTACAAACTGTAGAAGGGAGTTGCAAAGTGCAAGTTGTGAATTTAGGTAATTAAATCATCACAGAGAGAATGAAGACTTCCATGGAATCACGGAAAATTATTTCAGTAGCCAATTATTATTGTCATTATTTTGGTAGCTTTATTTTTGCTATGAAGATGGTTCAAGGCCGGGTGTGGTGGCTCACACCTGTAATCCTAGCACCTTGGGAGGCTGAAGCGGGTGGATCACCTGAGGTCAGGAGTTTGAGACCAGACTGACAAACATAGTGAAACCCTATCTCTACTAAAAATACAAAAGTTAGCTGGGCATGGTGGCGTGTGCCTGTAGTCCCAGCTACTTAGGAGGCTGAGGCAGAAGAATCCCTTGAACCTTAGAGGCAGAGGTTGCAGTGAGCCAAGATTGCACCACTGCACAAAAGCAAAACTCTGTGTCAAAAAAAAAAAAAAAATATATATATATATATATATATGGCTCAATATCCTTAGATAATAAACCCTGAGGTTTCTTCTTTTCCAGACAAATACGACTGCTTTAGTACCACACATTTTGCAGTTGAAGTATTGTGCCAGTAAAGTGCCTGCTTTGTTAATAAAAGATGATGCCAGTCTGAGATACACCAGCAGGATTGCTTGTGGTATCCAAAAACATCATTTCAAAAGATCTACCGTATGCTGTTTCACAGGTATCGCAATGACAAACGGGCCTATGATAGGTTCTCAATACATGATTCTAGACTTGATGGAAAAACTGCAGTCCTTTAAAAAACGATACCTATTTGTTACTTTTTCATTGCAAAAGAACATGTTCATTAAATACATTTGGAAAATTCAGGAAAGCAGAAATCAGTTTTCGGATGCTCGTAATTTCCTGTCTTTTTATGCAGAAATGTTTTTAAAAAGCAAAGCTGTGGCCTGCAGGGGTGGCTCACGCCTGTAATCCCAACACTTTGGAAGGTCGAGGCAGGGAGGACCGCCTGCGCCCAGGAGTTGGAGACCAGCCTGGGCAACACAGGGATAGCCTCTCTCTACTAAAAATACAAAAATTGTCCAGGCGCAGCAGGGCGCGCCTGTAGTCCCAGTGCCTGGATTACCTGCCTGTAGTCCAGTTGAGGCCGGAGGATCGCTTGAACCCAGAAGACGATGCTGCAGTGAGCCGAGATCGCGCCACTACACTCCAGCTTGGGAGACAGAGTGAGACCCTGCCTCAAAAAAAGAAAAAAACAAAAACGGTGGAATTATGCTAGAGTTTGAACCTTCACGTTATAGACTATTTGCTAACTCCTCTAACTAGACACCTTGCGCATGAAATCTGGAGGGGAGCAGGTGAGGAAATTTTGTAAATCCTTGTCTCACACATATCTATTCTATAATGGTTACACCTGTATGGCATTTTAAGGGCTTCCTTTCACATGTGAAAGTAAAAGGAGGTGTTTTTTGTAAATTGTCTAATTTATATTGCCAATTAAGTTCCCACGGGTCGAGTTGCAGCCAAAGCAAAAAGGAAAAAAATCTGCGCAGCTGGGTGATATATTGCTTAATGACAAACTTCCAGAGTATTAACCCAGGACTTATATTTTGCCTGGGGACGGGGGTCTTCCACTGGCTCACACGGCGGTCCCTTGTAGTCTCGGGGTAGGGCCTGCCCCTTCTTCCCTCGGGGTGTGGTGGGAGGAGCGCGAAGGCCTTGCGCTTCGCTAGTAGTTGGCAAAACCTGGAACCAGCGCCGGTGGCCCAGGCGGGACAGGAGCAGGCCGGGGGCGTGGGCAGGCCAGGCCGGGGCGGGGAGTGGGCGGGGAGTGGGCGTGTCCCCGCTGCGGTCACAGGTCGGGCGGGATGCCAGCTCGCCAGGAGAGTGCGCATTCCAGGGGCGGGCTGCAGGGAGGGGCGGCGCCACCTCGCGCTCCGCCCTGGTCCCGGCCCCGGGCCCCGAAGACAGTCGTTACGCGGGCTCGAGCGTCCTCGGGGAGTGCCAGCGAGAGTCGGTGACGACCACTTTCTCGACGTGGGGCGGGCAGACGGGAAGCCTGCGGTCGTGGCCCCCGCCTCGGTTGCTCTGGGAGCCCGGGTGACCGCGTAGGTCAGTTTCTCGCGGCTGTCCCCGCCTGGAGTTCGAGGCTGGTTCCCGCGCTGATGGGTTCCCGCCGGGCTGTGCCCGGGAGGTCTGTCTGCACCTGGTTGGGGGTGGGCGCTCCAGTCCCGGGCGTCTCAGAGAATGGTCTGGTCGTGGCGCGGCGACGCAGGGCTGCAGCCGAGCTCGCCTTCCCGGCGGCCGCTGGCTGCTCCAGCGCTGCAGGAAGTTAGGCGTTAAAAGTAACAAGATGTTGGCATTTGTTGCACTTCCACTCGGGTGCCACGACCATGCTGGTGCCGCATGCATCCCCCACCAGATCTTCAGCTGCGTGCCTTCTCGGTACTTTCGTGTGTCCATCGTGACTTCTTAATTTCCTCCTAACAAGAGGAGGATTGATGCACAATGGAAGTCACGCATTGTTCATGTGACTGTTTCCCAATGTACCGCGTGGTCGGTTCTACAAACATGAACGAATATCCAAGGGAGATTCCGAAACTGAATCAGAGCGCAGCTGCACAATAGACTTGAACAATTCACTTATCCCGCTGCCCTAATAATTAGCAGGAGGCACTGAAAAGGGTTATCCTGATTTAGTATTAGTTTTCAGTTCAAGTTGTCGTTTTTAGGCAGACGGTATTGTGAAATGGAACTGTGGGCAGTGTGATATTGTTAGCTTAAATAAGATTGCTTGAATGTTGCAAATGTGGCTATTAGGTGTCTGAATAGTTAATATAATTAAATCAGCTTTAAAATCGGTGGTGTGTTTTCCCTGAAAACTTCAGTCTTTGCCCTGTAGTAGGTGCATTCTGGATTTGGAGTTTGGAACCTCCTCACCTCTTGACTCAGCATTTGGGAAATAATTTGCGGATTCGTTCTGAGGGTAGCAGTATTCGCAGTCTAACCCTGGTACAATGAATTTTTTGCGGCAATGTGATAGGTGTAAATTCTGAGCCACCCCCCTACCCCCCTCAAGCTGGAATTGTGAAGATTCTTAATTACAGCATAGTAACAAAATCCGCCTTTTAATTCCCTAATTCTAAACCACTAAGTGGGCTTTGTCTACAATTTATTGGGGGAAAAGAGGAGAAAACTGTCAGTAACAATCCTTTCTTAAAATTTAACTATTGTCTTTTTCATTTCTCCCAGGAAGTGTAACTCTTCTCTAGTGTTGAGCAACAGATAGTCAAAATAGGAGTTAACTGCCAAAGATTGAGTAGATTAATCTGAAACATTTGTTATCTCAGTGTCGTATTTTGTGAAGGTTGTTTATCAAAATGACACTTGCTAAATATCTCATTGTGAATCAGAAATTTATGGTGGGTGGTAATTCTTCTCTCTGGAGGCTGCTCATTTTTGCATGTATTATTCTAGCCGACTAGTGATTCAGAGCAGGCAGGTATGATTTCTCTGTTTTGTTGTTGTTGTTGTTGTTGTTGTTGTTGCTAAATTGAGACAGAGTCTGGCTCTGTTGCCCAGGCTGGAGTGCAATGGCACGATCTTGGCTCACTGCAACCTCTGCCTCCCGGGTTGAAGCGATTCTCCTGCTTCAGTCTCCCAAGTAGCTGGGATTACAGGCACATGCCACCACGCCCTGCTAATTTTTTGTATTTTTAGTAAAGATGAGGTTTTACCATGTTGGTCAGGCTGGTCTCGAACTCCTGACCTTATGATCCGCCCGCCTCAGCCTCCCAAAGTGCTGGGATTACAGGCGTGAACCACAGGTATTATTTCTATAAAAGTATTCCTGGCCAGGCGCGGCGGCTCATGCCTGTAATCCCAGCACTTTGGGAGGCCGAGGCGGGCAGATCACCTGAGGTCAGGAGTTCGAGAGCAGCCTAGCCAAAATGATGTAACCCTGTCTCTACTAAAAATACAAAAATTAGCTGGGCATTGTGGTGGGCGCCTGTAATCCCAGCCACTCAGGAGGCTGAGGCTGGAGAATCGCTTGAACTCAGGAGGCAGAGGTTGCAGTGAGTGGAGATTGCACCGTTGCACTCTAGCCTGGGTGACAAGAGCGAAACTCCTTCTCAAAAAAAAAAAAGAAAAGAAAAAAAAGAAAAATTATCCCCATCATTTCCTCAAAACATGGGGAAATGATACTGTTTTAGAACCAACAATTAGGTTGAAGAATACAGCCAGTCTTTTTGAGTAATAACATGGCGCAATGCCTGTTAAATATTAACACATTACAAATTTTCTCCTTGTGGTTTTATTTTACTTAGAGATACATCTGTATATCTGATCATAATATTTTTAAGTTGGAACTTGTCAGTTTCTTACCTCTTGACATTACTGGAAGCTGAGCTTTTATACATTATATGTATTCATTGAGAAAAGTAGTAGGCAGAAAGCAGAAATCGGCCAAACGAATAACTTAGTGGAGAAGAGAGAATATGATATCAAGTGCATGTGAGAAATTTGATATCCTTCAGAAGCTTGTCAGTTCGTCCAAGCTGAGTCTGAACTTTGGCAATCAGAACTTTTTTGAAGACCTAGCAAGTTCTCTGAATTTCGTAGAAAGAGGACAGGTTTTAGCACTGCAGTCACCAGCTTACACTAACAATTCATGAAGTTTAAGAAAAGACACTGTTATGTACTCTGTATAGTATATATATTTATGATTGTGGTGTCATATAAGTATCTTATGTGATGTTTTGGTCTCTAGAAATGTTTTTCCTCACGTGGACTCTGCCACTAATGCTGTGTCGGTACTGTCAATATTAAGGGGGCTGTTTGAGGTGGGCTAGTATAAGAAATAGTTTTAATGCTATTACTAGGAAGATAAACTAGGTCTCTCACTTTACTTTTATTTATCAGCCTGCAAGTAGGAAATTACTGTATAGTGAAAGCAGTCTTTAACTGTATATTTTCCTATCATGTGACAATGGAAAGTAACCACATATTTTTACTTTGTGTTTAAAGTTTTTCTTTAAAGAGGTATTTCCATGATGCATACATGGTCAGTATTATCATACATGAGTTTAATCGAGTTTGAAAGTTAATTTTCAAATGTGAAATAATTGAAATGGGAAAATTTTAATGCATTTTTCTAAAATTTAGGGAATTTTATCATTAAAAGGTAACAATCAGCCTCCTTGCTAGGATTTTTGTTACTAAACTTGATTTGTCAAATTTGTAGGCTTCTCTGCTCTTCGTACCTGCCCTGTTTTGAAACAGTAGTTAATAGTTTTCAGAATCTGTCAAGTTGAAATTGAAATCAGGGGTGCATCTAGGGGTTCGTGCTTAATTGTTAAAGCAGCTAAAATTATAGCACCTAAAGTTATTTTAAACGACTTCATTGAGCAAAGCTATGAAGCTTATTTAATTTTTACTAATTTTAACAAACATTAAAATTTCCAACCGAATATGGATAAAATAAATACCCAGTGATAGGTTTTATTATGTCTGCATGGCATCCAAGTCAGTGTGGGTGTGGAATGGATATGAATAAAAGAAGGTAATGTACATGTATCAAATATAAAGTAAATAATAATTTGGCATAAACATTTTATGATTTCAGTGCTTTACAAACCATAAGATGACACATTACAATTCTGGCCAATTCTCCATCATTTCTTCTCTGGAAGATGAATGCTTTTTATTAGGGCACAAAAACTTATTGAGGAAGTTAGAGAAAAAGTTTCACTGAATTAAAAATTAAGTGATAAAAATTTTGTCTTCTAACTTAATACAGGTTAGTGCTTCCCAAAATAGGCTTTATAATTTGCTCCTGTTTTCCTTAAATTGCCATGTTTTAGGTATTCTTCTCAGTTAATGAATAAAGCTTTTTAAAATGAGGCACTCAAGTCGTAATTCAGATTCACCTTCCTCGGTGCTTACACAGGAGCACTAATGAGAAGCAATTTAAGTTTTGCAGCTGAATTGAATTTTATAAAATACGTAGCATTATTTCACCCCTTCTACATTCTGGCTGTGACTCTACTGTTAACACTTGGCAAGTAACTTCACCTTGGGGCTTTTCAGTTGCTTCAGCTCTGGGATCAGAGTGTTAGATTAAGTATGAATTTGTCTACCAATGTTCAGTTTCTAAAACAAGCAAAAAATGCATTTATGTTATCACAAATGTCAGAGTTTTCTGTATGCATAATATGTGTATCTGCACATGTGTGCATAATGTGTACACATATACATACATGTAGGCATATGAGTGCATCAGAGAAATTACTGATTACTAGCAACTAATCATAGTTAGAGCAAATATGTATTTTTTTTTTTTGCCATTGCCATGTTTTCATGTAGTTACATTAATCTTTAATACTTTGCTGGTATTAAAAGAATATAATGTCAGGAGAAAGCACACCATTGAGCAGCTAACTACAGGCTGGGCAAGGTGGCTTATACCTGTAATTCCAGCACATTGGAAGGCAAGGCAGGATAATTCCTTGAGGCCAGGAGTGCGAGACCAGTCTGGGCAACATTGCCAGGCCTGATCTCTATAAAAGATACAAAAATTAGCTGGGTATGGTGGCATGCACCTGTGGTCCCAGCTACTCCGGAGGCCAAGGTGGGAGGATTGCTTGAGTCCAGGAGTTTGAGGCTGCAGTGAACCATGATCGTGCCCCTGCACTCCATCCCGGGCAACTGACTGAGACCCTATTTCAAAAAAAGAGGCAGCTGACTACTTTGGAGTGCAGGGCTAAGCACAGTACTGGTTTTTATGTTTTTAAGATTTAGTTTATAGGATGTTTTTGTTCATAGACATTTAATTTTTCTCATTCAAATTTCTAGCACACAATGTATTTTAAATATTAATGTAACAGCAATCATAAAATCAGTATCTGAGAATTTAAAAACTAATCACAACATATATTTTTAATAATTTTTGAATAGTCTCCATTTGTCTTTATTAAGATTATAGGGCCGGGTGCGGTGGTTCATGCTGTAATCTCAGCACTGTGGGAGGCCGAGGTGGGCGGATCACCTGAAGTCAGGAGTTTGAGACCAGCCTAACCAACATGGAGAAACTCCATCTCTACTAAAAATATGAAATAGCCGGGCGTGGTGGCACATGTCTGTAATCCCAGCTACTCAGGAGGCTGAGGCAGGAGAAATACTTGAACCCGGGAGGTGGAGGTTGTGGTGAACCGAGATGGTGCCATTGCACTCCAGCCTGGAGAACAAGAGCGAAACTCCATCTCAAAAAATAAAAAGAGTACAAATACTGGCTGGATGCAGTGGCTAACGCCTGTAATCTCAGCACTTTGGGAGGCTGAGGTGGAGAGATCGCTTGAACCCAGGAGTTTGAGACCAGACTCAGCAACATGACGAAACCCTGACTCTA